TAGCCTTTCCTCCTTCATAATAGAGAAGATTTGACGGTAATCTCACGCTTAACTGCTATATTTACGATCGCAGTTGTAGATGCCTCGCGTTTGACTCTATTTGCTATCAAAGTGTACGAGTAAAATAACTTTTCCCTTCGCTAGCCTGTTTATTTTGCATTTTGCACCAAAGTTTTTTCCTTAGTCATCAATCATAGCAATTGCGTACTGCAATATACTACTCGTAACTTTTTAAATTGTCCAAAAATCATATATGTAATTAATGTAAAATCATTGCCATGGCATGGCCATTGGCAAAAAACTCTCAATAACCACCGGGAGTCAGGAAATTAGCAGTGTTACCCGTGCTTCGAAAGGCAGGTGAAACCGTTAGTCTTGCGCCTGATCTCTCTTCGTTCGTATCGTATTGCCGTCCCATGGAACGATGAGATTGAGAGAACAGAGTGTGCACCTATGCTTGCGCACACTTTCGAACAATATAATAATGTTCTGCGTAGATGGCTAGTCTCTTGAGAATACCCGCCGTGATCGAAATTCTCTCTAGAGGACATTATTATTATGTAAATACATATACATACAAATCAAGCTAATAAGCTAATAAGCTAAAAGCGCGTTAAAGACGAAATGAAATCATGCATTTTCTTCATGGAACCTGCTATTTTCCATCGTTAAGAACATCACGCTATTTATTCGGCAGTACAGGTTTGAATCTTAATTTTTTGTAGCAGTAAGAAGTTTCATGTATTTTCACCTTTTCTTGTTTTTTATTGATTTTTTAATGGAATTATACAGGAATATGTACGACTTTAAATATAGTAAATCCATCCATAGGGATATTACATATGTAATAAACATTATAATGTATCTATTTTCTAGTTATTTATTAGGTACCTTGAACTTCTGTCTTCCTTAGACCACTCAAAGGGGTTAAATAATTAAACTTTAAAAAAATTAAAACCCAATTCGAAAATTGAATATGTATTTCTTATTAAAGTAAAATAGTAAAATTCAGGCTCTCGTGATTCAATTATACACTGCTTTAGAATCAACTTCAGAAGCTATTAATCGGATATAATTTAATTCTTTTTAATTTTTACTTTTTTATTCAAAGTTTCATTAACTATGACACAATATTGTCCACTATAACTTATCGCGGTCGTATAGTATCGTTGCCGCCTCACATGAGTTTCTCAAATAAATAGCATTGAACTTATAGGAGGATTTTTAAGATAACCTTTGAAAAAGATCTTGTCCAAAAATTTTGATTGAAGTTACGGGGTTATCGAGTTTAAATAATTGATAATACATCGATATATAAATTAGTTATATTATTAATAAATTTACAAATTTAAATTTTTCTCTTTAAAACGTTTACTAGAAATGTAAAAATAAAACTAAGTACTTTATATATTTATGTTGTAAAATTATCATAATGTAGTAAAGTATTTATGTTAATTTTCAAGATATTTCATCAGGTAGTAAATTATAAAGCTATTACAGTTTAGAAGTAAGTCTAGGTCGGGGAAAAAGTTTCTTCGTATTTTGGTTTCTATTAAATTGAAAAAAAAAAACTCTTTGGTTGTACTGTTTGTATCTTGATGGTTTTAATATCAATACCTAAAGGGTATTAAGAAAAATAAAAATAAAATGTAAAAAACACATTCCCGCCATTTTTCAATTGTTTTTCTGTCCGCCAAAATCAGTGAATCTAACGAAGAAATTCGATGCATTCTGAAGTTATACTACAAAAAAGTAAAAATACTACTAAAGCCGCGAAAAAAAATTATGACATTTATGGACCTAATGAAATGTCAGTAAGAGTGGTACAAAGTTGGTTCAACCATGAAAAAGTCTGGCTATACAAAAAAGCTCAAATATTTGGGTACCACATGAGCTCATCCAAAGAAACCTAATGAATCGTGTACTCATTTGCGACTCTATTGAAACGCAATGAAACCGAACTATTTTTGAAAAGATTGATCACTGGTGATGAAAAGTGGATTATCTAAGATAAGAACGTGCGAAAAAGATCATGGTCAAAGGGTAGTCAAGCTCCACAGACTGTAGCGAAACACGGATTACCACGCAATAAGGTGATGCTGTGTGTATGGTGGGAATGAAAGGGCATCGTCTATTATGAGCTTTTAACCGGAGTCGGGCAAAACCATCGATTCGGATCTCTACCGCCAACAACTAATGAAACTCAAGAAATAAATTGAGTAAAAATGGCCGGAATTGATCAATAGAAACGGGGTGGTCTTTCAAAATGATAACGCCAGACAACACACATCTTTGGCCACTTAGCAAAAATTGAGAGAGCTTGGTTGGGAAGTGTAAATGTATCCTTCAGATCTTCACCTGTTTCGATCTCTTCAGAATTCTTTGGTTAGTGTTAGGTTAACATCAAGAGGGTACTGTCGAAACTACTTGTCGCATTTTTTTTTTTGATTAAACATCCCACGATTTCTAGAGCAACGGGATTATGTCACTACTTACAAGATGACAACAAGTTATCGAACAAAATGGCACATATACGAGTATATTATAATTAAATTTTATTAAACTTTGAAAAAAAAATGTCTTGAATTTGTATATTAAATTCGATGAAACTTTTTCCCTGACCTATTTTAATTAGTTTGTAACAAAACGAGAAAGATCTAGAAAAAGAAAAATTTTATACAAAGCTTTCATCAGTAGCTCGTAGATGTAGCGTATGTTTCAGAACGTTTCTATAATATGTAGACGTGTATATAATTAAAGGATATGTAATAAAAAATATTTCACGAAGGACTTAAGTAAAAAAAGTTCAATGAAATTAGTTCTAGTTGAAAACAATTCTAGGCTTGATGGCCCTTCGAGGACGTTCAAGTGGAACCGGTCTGAAATGTGTTTACTTTAACTAGGTCTTTAAGAGTACGGAGAGTTAAGCTTATTTTAAAGCATAGGGGTATCGACCAGTCCCGCGTTCTTAAACCAAAGTTCAAGGTGAAACGTTGACATTTATTAGACGATTCATCAACTTGCACACAGACTATAAATTAACAGCGCGATCATTTCATTAGATAAAATACAATTATTTTAGTAATATAAATCTTCTTCCTTTATCAGCCTCTTTTAATCACTTATAATTGGCATACATAACTTGAAAAACTTGTCCATACTTACCATGCTGGTCAGATGGGCTGGTGAGCGCAGAACAGTTGTTGGATTTAGGTTTGATTCCTTAGAATAGATTAACTAGCTTATGTTGGCACTCAGAGCATCGGTTGTTATTTAGCACGATACATCACGAACAATTGTGAAGGATCATTTGGAGAGGAAGCTATTATAACTTTTTTTTATAAGAACTTAAAATTCACCTGATGTTAAGTGGCTACTGCAGCCCGTGAACATGAGTGGTTTTCTCGGAGGTTGGAGGTAACGAGTATGTATTTATAGAATTATAATCATTATAATCATCAATATAACCGTCTATGTTCGTATAATTCCAATGTATGGCTTATTCCAGAAAAACTCATTCAAAGGAATTATATGAACTTAGAGGGTTGTATTGGTGATTTTAATGATATTAATTCTATAAACACATACTCATTACGGTCGCGAATCATATTTTATTAAACATTTAACCTGACCTTGACATGCAAATTCCAAAAAACGCAAGAAAATTTGAATTTCGCGGGCCACCCTGGAGCTTTCACCTTAATATGAGCGCAATTTATAAATCAAAATAGACCATGAACAGTTTACACATTGTTACTAACGTTATAATATTGATATAGACCACAAAATAAGGAAAAACGTAATAATTCAAAAATTTACAATTTATGTCAACGTTCAATTTAATTTTCAATTTCTTCATTAATTATTATCTACAATATGGCAATTCCCAATACCGTTAAGATAACTTTTAATTTTTACTGTTTTTTTCTCGCAATACAAAACATTAACGTTATAATTGTTATTGCTTAGGTATTTATTAACACTAATAAACAAAAATGTGGAATAAATATAGGCAAAGACACTTTAGTTTGTGTCAGAGTTTTATTTAAAATTAAATTGAGTAAAATTTTGTTTATCTCAGTAGTTTCGTTCCTCCATTTATGATAGAAATCTTAAATAAATTTTACTTCTCCGTTTACCTATCTTGTATTTCATCATACTTCATATCTTTGCACTGATATGAGAGTACACAGGTTATTTATTATTATGGGACACTGATTATTGACTTCTTTGTCAGAAATATTTTGTAATATTTATTGAGCAAGAAATTATTTAAATTTAAATATAAATTTTGTTTGATGTGATTAATAAGATTTGGTCACGAAATTAGGTACGAAAAATTAAAGTCTATCTCGTTATTAATAAAGTAAATAAAGTAATAATAAAACATAATATTTAACCAATATTACTCTATTTATGGTTTCTATACATAAAATTGGGCTGGTTAATGAATAAAAGAAATGGCAAATTGGCAACAGAGCGTTTTGTGACATGCATTATAATACAGTAATTGGCATTCCGATTCATACAACCATTTCAAGTAAATAAGTACCTAGCTATAACCGTATGTGTAAGAAACAAATTCCAAGAAAATACAATTTATGTATTATGGTGTTTAAAGGAATAAGAAATTAACGATGGTTTATTTTTATGTATCAAGTGTTACTATTTTACATTAATGAAAAAGTTATTACATTAGGCAGTTAAGTACAATTTCAAACATTTGTGACCGGAAATGCTTATAGTGTAGTATAAGCAGAATGAGGCAATTAGGTGCCAAATGTTAAAACATCGTTAAACCTTAATTTGTAAAACTTACAAGTGTATTATGACACAAAATATACATATTTATAAATATAATTTTAGTTTATTTTGTCAGCGTAAAAATAATCACTAAATATGGATCCGTTTTAGATCAATACTACAGTACCTACACCATTATCACGCCGCTGGTAGTTGTATCTGGTACTCCAGTTCGTGTAGTTGTGTGCGCGAGTGAGATGACGTCAACGGGTCGGCAGCTATTTTTGAGTAAGCGAATTGTAACTGAGACTGGAGTGACAGACGGCGGTGTGCTGGTGAACGAGAATGGTCTTATAGAGAAACTCCTGAGCCGACAGCAAGCCGAGCAACTTATCAAAGAGAGCAATGGAGATGTTACAGTAAATTCAATTTTAAATAGACGAGAATAATAGCGTATCTGCATGATTATGTTCTTGACCTTTGTATTATATTAGATATTCATTATTTATTTTAATTGGCTCGTAAATCGCATATTATTCAAGTTAATTACTTACAAATCTGTGTAGCTCAACATCCAAACTTAATATTTTCATTACTGATGTCAGGATATTATCATCACTTGATTGCTTGACTCATTTTTTCAATCATCAAATATTATAAATTAACAATTACAGTATGAATAAAAAAGTTTAATTGTTTTGTATTTATATTCAATCAGGTTATAATTTAATAACTTTCATCCGATAACTGAAAAATCATACCTGAGCCTTGTAAAATGTTTGGGTAAACATTAATCTCAACAAAAGCATGATTTAACATAATTTAATATTGGAAAAATGTGATTCCAGTCAAACGAATTCAAGCGCTTATTATCCAATTGAAATGGCAGCGATCATAGTGCCAGTTTTAAACAGAGAACACGTGTAATGTATAATGGATAACTATAAATTTAGAGGCAGGCAACTGTCTACATATATATGTTATGAGTATATTTTTTCTTAGTTGTTCTTATCGTTGTCTACAATTTATTTGTACGTAGGTATTTGTATGAAAGCATTGCATGAATTGTAATCAATATACAGTAGCATTTATTAGTTATTCTTTTACTTATTTATTGTAAATTAATCGCCATTAACGGACGGTACATTTTTTTTAAAGAATTAGGGTGACAAATGTATACACAGTGCACTTGACGGTAAATGAATTCTGTGACCCATAGATATCCACATTTATCGCAATGAAGAATCAAAATGCAGAAGAGTTATCACATGTCATCCCTGAGGACTAAATTGGAATGTCTTGTTTCCAGTAAAATGGTCTGCGGTTGTTTACACTCACCTAACGATACACAGCAGCATTAAGCTACTATTTAACTCTGGTATTCTGTGATAGCATCCCAAGCAGCATGTAAGCTGAATATGAGCTGTATTGAAGTTCGTTTTTATAATAGAGGCTATATTTTCTGGCTGTATAAAAGCTGTATAAACGCTTATACAGTTCTTATAAGTAAAAGATTGACACAAATTATGCAGCTTTATGCGTTAGTAGGGCTGTACAGTAGCTGTACAAGCATAAAAGAGGCTGTATAACTGCTGTATTACAGCTGTTATTTGGTGTGCAAGGAAACTATTACACTACACATATTGCCTCATAAGTAACTTATAAAGACAAACGTTCTAAATTGGGTTTTGAACGGTATTACAAATGAATATAAAACAAAAACAATTTTGTTTTATATTCATTTGTATCCTAATGAAATAAATTTTGTAAACCTAATGAAATAAATAATTATTTTCTCAAACTTCCCAAAAGCAGCGAAAAGAATATAAATTTGTCAATTTTAAGTCGCTACGAATTCGATAGATTTGGATGTAATACTTTTGAACTTAAAACAGTCGATGACTTTTTTACTAATAGAGTCATTTAATTCGAACGCACTTGGTGATGATGGTATCACCTTAAATATGGTACTGCTGACACTCCCACGAACCCTAACAGTAATAGCAAAAATAGTCAATGAATCCATTAAAACAGGCGTATTTCCCGAGCAATGGAAAGTAGCTTCAGTAAGGCCAATTGCGAAAAAACCAAATCCGAGTGATTATAAAGATCTTCGTCCCATAAGTATCCTTCCTTTTATGTCAAAGATTCTAGAGAGAATTGTCTGTACACAGATGACCGAATATTTAGAAACAAATAAAATCTTACCTGCCAAACAGTCAGGCTTTAGAAAACATCGAAGCACCGCGACTGCTTAAATAGATGTAGTAGACGACATTTTAACAGCACAAGATGTAAGAGAAAGTACTTTATTGGTTATGCTCGATTTCTCACGCGCTTTTGACACCTTAAACCCGACGCTACTTCTTTCAAAACTTGCCTACTACGGTTTCGAGTCCACTACAATAAAATGGTTTGCGAGCTATCTATCTAATCGTAAGCAATACGTCAAAATTGACAATTACTATGGGTCTGAAATGAAATCGGCTACAATGGCACTTGCCAGAGGGGTACCACAGGGTTCCATCTTGGGACCAATGTTGTTTATCATATACATTGCAGATATCGTTACTGCTATCAAGTATTGTAAATACCACTTATATGCTGATGACCTTCAATTATATATTTCTTTCAAGCCTAATGACACCAATAATGGTACTAAGAACGTTAACGCAGACTTGAATCTTATTAATAATTGGAGTAATCTCAACAATCTTGTCCTCAACCCAGACAAATCAAAATATATGATCGTGGGAAGTCGAAAGCAAACGGATTTTATCCTTGCTTTAAATCCGCAAATATTTATCGATGGTTGTTTACTTGAACGTGTATTGGAAGTTCGTAACCTTGGCTTAGTGATGGATGGAAAGTTGCGGTTTGAGGGTCATATATTAGAAACTATGCGTAACTGCTTCTACAGACTTAAGGTTTTATATAGGATTCGCGAATTTTTAACGGTAGACATGCGAATTAAATTATGTGAAACGCTTATTTTGTCCAAATTATCCTACACTGACACCGTTTATGGGGAATGTCTGTATGCAAGGACAAAAAAAGCAATACAGAGGATACAAAACGCATGCGCACGATTCTGCTTTACAATCCCGAGACGATCACACATAACTCCATTTCTTAACCGGCACGACTTGATGAATATGACCACTCGACGTACACTTCATCTCGCCACATTGCTTTTTGGGGTTATACGGAACAAAGAACCTTCGTATTTATTCGAAAAGCTAATATTTTCATATCGTTATGTTAGATCAGCGTTGCGGCTCATTTGTCCCCGGTATCGTACAGCTGCTTTCCGTGGTAGTTTCCGATTTGCTGCTACTAAGTGCTGGAATGACCTCCCTCCACCAATCAGAAACTCAACATCTGCTAAGTCTTTTAAAAACAACTTAAAAAAGTATCTCCTTTCAACACAAAAGTCCAGCACTTAAGTTTCCGTATAATTGGAAGAATAAACAAGCACAATTAAGACATAACTGTAGTGACCACACATAACTCACTAATATTTGCATACAGCTCAAGCATGTATTTGTAACCAATTCTATTGTCTTATTTTATTTTTTTCTTTCATTTTTGTAATTCAGATTTTTTTGTATGTCTATTTTTGTTGTTTTTTAATTTTGTTTTATTTTGCTTTCTGTTTTTGTTATATGAGGCTTTTTGTGTTTGTTATATGATTGTGTTTGCTACATATTAATCACTGTTTTGTTACGCCATCTATCATCCTCCTATGGTTCCACTGAAAACCACCATTCACGGAGTTTATTAATTCCGTGAACTCATGCTGAGTGGAAACCTATTTGGTGCATGTACATTGTATTTCTTTTATTGTAAATAATTTTTTGTAAACGATTGATTTATGTACCAAATAAACTTTTCCTTCTTTCTTTCTTTCTTTTTTTAAATATCGGTTGTATAGGTTAGAATTTAAAAAAATTAAATTAATGGATATGAAGACACATTGGAGCACAGTTATCATTACTTAAACTGAAAGTAATAGTATAGGCTTAGACTAATGTCTAATATTCCCATAATTATATTTTAAATTTTGATTTTATAGGTCTTAAAATGGCGACAATTTGCTAAACAGCCTATACGGTATTTCGAGGGTCTTATAGTCTTAGTAGCTGTACTATATATATTATGGATTATATCATGCAGCCATTAGTTTTTAATTAGTTCTATAACAGGATATTTTTATTACTTACGCTGTATAGCTGTTTTTTTTTCAACATAACAAATAATTATCTTACGAGATACGTATAAAAGATGATAAACCTTGTCTTGGAAACTAATTTAGATTTAACATGATCTTTTTACTGCACCAAACCTTTCAAGCACAATATTAACAAGCAACGCATGCAATATGGCGATATTCTGTTACTTATACACATTTGAGTTGTACTATGGCTGTTATTTTATTTTTTATTTTTATAATACTCTCACAGACAGAAGTCATAAAACTACTGTATTTACAAAAGAGTACAATGACACCATAAGAATAAGTTTTAGAAGAGAGTTTCATAAACCATTATTCTGAAATAAGATGTTAGTGATACTGTAATAACATTTGGAGCTGTAAAAGCAAGGGACAGCATGCAAAAGAACAGCGTCTATACAACTTTAATAATAAAATTAGATTGAAGTGTTACAATATACTTAAAGTTGTATAGTAAGTTTTCATATTCTGATTAAGAACCCTAAGCTTACTTAGATCCCATAATACAGACTTCATACAGCTTGAGCTGTATAATAATTCATAACCACTCTTATATGGATGCAACCTCTTTTTAACACTCTTATACGCTTTTAAAAGAACTCTAAGTTTTATGTGGGCTGGTATATTGATGTTCATAACGCTTGTGTGCTGTTTGGGATGGTCATTCCCCGGTCGAGCCGACTTACACGTTACAATTATAATAAACATAGCTGCAGCATGACTCTTACGCATATAAAACACACATTTTACCCAAATACATGTTGTTATGAATAATTTAAGAATTTATAATAAATCTTATTCAAAATTCACATTAACTTTTTGAAATATATTATAATATAAGTAATCATTTACTTTAACACGAAGCTTGACTTTTAAAGTAACACATTATTTATGGCATTCATAAAGTCCACCGTCTATAAAAATTCCACCGTTGAACAAAGACCCCCTCTTTATTGTAAAACATCACAATAATGGTAATCAGTTTGGATATTATAGGCCTTATATAATTTTTTAATATGGTTATACGAGTATGTTGCCTGATAAATATTTAGTAGCACTCTATCACTTTATTTTTCGTAGAATAAAAACTGTAAGCGAATACATTAACTCAGACTGTTTCATTTGGATATATGGCACCATTATCGACAGAAAAAATTATAAAGATCCAAATTTATGCATTTAAAGACATTCTATAAACGTTCAAGATAGGTATTACAAAGAAAATATAATCACTACTTTAAAAAACTTACAACGTAGATCTTCAATAGTTCTCAGTTGCGTATTTAAAAGCCTCATTGATAAATGAAGACCTGCATGAAATTTTGTATTTAGATTTATTTTAGGAAATTTGGGAGTAAATCATTATCTTTATGGATAACACATCCATCCCTGAGAAAAATATTTGTAATGCAGAGCAAGGGGACTGTAGTTTTCTATCGACTTCAAAAAGGAGTAGGCGGGTAGGTATTCAATTCGATTGTATGTTCTTTTTTTATTCTGCGTGAACCGATTTCGATGATTCTATTTGAAAGCTGCTGTTTCTCATGTGGTCCCATATATATTTGGTCCCATATATTTTTGAGTTATTCTTAATAATTTATATTGTAGTCGTTTGTGTAAAATTTTTAATTTTTTTTAAATATACTAGTAATGCTATTAAAACATTACTAATATTCCCTTTAACCAGTTCTGGTAAGCATAAAATGCTTGTGTTAGAAGTGGTTCACGACAGTAGTCGAATGGCGGGTTCGAACCCACGATCTTTAAAGTTCGCCGTCCGCCCCCTGCCATTAGGCTACTGACGCTTCAAAATTATTAGGTCCACAGGTACATATTTTTAAGAGACTACATTATCATCATTATGATCAATAGAATAATTATTGTAATCATTATTAAAATAAATTTTACATTTTTGCGCTGCCGCTGCGTAATAAAATGTTACCCAAGGTCATCAACTTTTTACGGGTATCGTAATTACACCGACAGACTGCTTTTTACGTGGTAGAGCCACGCTGAAGCTATATTATTGCTGTAGCACGAATATAAGGGTCGGCTCGACCGGGGTAGGACCTGCCCTTATAGAATACTAACGTAAAATAGCAGCTTAATACTGCTGTGTTTCGTATGGTGAGTGTAGAGAACCGAATAACATTTTTACTTGAAACTAAGCATTCTATCTTGGTCCTCAAGGGTGACAGCGCATCTGCATTTTGATTCTTAATCGAGGATAAATGTAGATATCTACGGGCAGCATCCATTTACCATCAGGTGGAATGTAGCACACATATGTCACCTTTATTCCATAAAAAAGACAGACAGACAAATATTTAAATAATCACTTAATAACCTTCAGAATTCTTAATATCGTCCCTTAAACTTGTTTGTCCTTCAAAATACTCGTATTAGAATTATAAAAACAACTTTTCAACATTAAATATAATATAGCAATATAAAATGTACAAATATTTGCTGAATAGCGGTTTACTTAAGCCACAAAACTGCGCAACAGAATCTCGTCAAGTTTTTTTTTGTTTTCTGTTCTTTATAAAAATGCCATTAACCACATGATTTGAAAACAACGTTATGCTAAACGAACTCAGTAAATTGAAAACCAGTTTGTCATAAATAGATCATCGAACTCAAAATTGTTTAAAAATAAATTACGATCGAGATCGTAAATATTTTAAATTATAAGTAAGCGAAAAACTGTTATTTGCTACACTACGAATTCGAGACGATAACTTTAGTCGTTACAAATAAATAAAGCATTATAATTAAGTACCTAATTAGACTACTGACAGGTTTTTATTATTTTCAGTTGATAACAGGAAGATGCTTGCAGCCCATCGCTTGGTTCATTACCCTTCGTCGCCTTTACGACATCTTCAGAATGATACGGAGTAGTGCTTCATCTTACGCCGCCACTATACAACGTCTAGCTACACTAGACGCTGTGCTGCTACACACTACATACTACACTGGAACAGACTTTAACCCTCATTACTGCTGTGCATGTCACAAAGGCGTTAAAACGTTTTCTTTCAAATATAGGTGGTGGACGGTGGTGAGCTGGCACTGATGCCAGGTGTGGTAGATTCCCACGTCCACGTAAATGAGCCCGGTCGCACCGCGTGGGAAGGCTTCCGAACTGCAACCAGCGCAGCTGCAGCCGGGGGCATCACGACCATTGTTGATATGCCTTTGTAAGAATGTATTAAATATATTATTTTAGATCAGGATATCATACATACAAATGGACAAAAGACACAAAAAGGAGTTAATTAAAATAATAACTGGTATTTCAAAGTACAACAACGCCGGTTATGTCAATTATCCATACGCATTCCTTGTCCAAAGTAAAGAACTTTTTATCCCATATTGATAAATGAAGTTTGTTGTATTGATTCAAGTAATTGAATGTATACTTGGTATCTGAAATTGGACAAAGTGAAATAAAAAGTAAAAGTCTTTATTTCTTACTTATATAAACGGACCTACCGAAAAAGGATTTGCTTAGGGAATAGGGAAACTGCTAGTTTTTGAGTATTTTTATCTTGTTGAGACCTACGTAACAAGAAAATAAAAGCTTGTTTATATTTTTGACGATATGACGATATTAAATTAAACAATGATGCCTTATTATTAAAATTCATACTTTTTTAACGTGATAGAGGCATACTGTAATTCTTAAATCTGCTTAAAGAATGGGTCAGATGAAGGTGATGCATGACGAAATAATAAAATGTTGGTGCATGAAAAAAAATTATCTCCAGTTATAGTCAATAACCTGAGATTATTTTTAAAATTTTAATGTGTGCCTGGATATGACACCAAAAGTAAAAAGGCTAAAAAACGATAAATAACAACAAGCGCTATTAAAATAAAAATGTAAAGATCGTTCGATTCGAAAACTATTCTGATCGGACTAAAAAAACTATAAATAACATCACATTTTAAAATACAATACCACTTTTATATAAACGCATCAAATAATTTACATTATTTTTTTATATCGATATCGTTTATTTACATAACATTCAAATATACAATATTTATTACCATAATAAAACTTAAAATATAATAATAGACAGTACAACTGCCCGCTGTAAAGTGTCAAGAATGCTATACAGCTATACTTAGCCATTGAGTGAGAAGAGAACCAGCCCTCTTATCATAAGCGTCACTCGCACAAAACACGTCACAATTATCATTTACACCTGTACAAGATCTTTAAAGAAGGTCATTGCATCAGTTAAACGATATGTCTGACCAGACCTGCATTTGTAACCATTGATTATCAAAAACAGAATCAGTCAAATGCAAGCTCTCGTATAACCGCACCTTCAACTCCACATGTATTGTTGAATTATTTATGTAATTGGTCTTACAAGAATTATTCTATTCTGATAATTTTGACGAATCTACTTATTAGTATTAAATTTTTTATAATATTTACTTATTTATTTATTAATCATTGCATTCCTTAAAACAAAAGAATACAAACGGCAGATCTAGCAGTCAACCCATGGAGTGGTGAGAATTTGACGTAGGTGTAGCAATATGGAATAAAACAAAACAAAACAAAACAAAAAGATAACTTAGTACGTAATATATACATTTCACTAATAAATAACTATTTCAATGACATTCCGGACGTCAGTCTGAGCGAGATTAGAATGGCTCTCCAGCACTTTAAAAACGGCAAGTACCCGTGCGAGGATGGAATTACAGCGGAGCTTCTGAAAACGGGTACTAGAAGTCCTTCAGAAGTCCGTTCTTTAATTCCGTTCTCCATGGTGGTACTACTCCGGAGGCGTGGAGCAAAAGTGCGGTGGTCTTTATCTTCAAGAGAGACGACAATCGGCCTGTATCTCTTCAATAGAGTGAAGAACTACAGACCGATTTCCCTTCTGAGCCACGACTACGTGCTGTTTTCGAGAGTCATTAAGTATCGTCTCGCACGCAGACTCGACCACTTCCAACCTTCGGAACAAGCCAGTTTCCGAAAAGACGTTAGCACTATAAACCACATACATACATACCCTTGGGCAAATTGTATAGAAGACCGAGGTGTACACTATGCCTTGCGTATGTATGTGGACTATGAGAAACCCTTTGATTCCGTCGAAATTTGGGCGGTGCTACAGTCGTCAATATATCGAAGTGCTGAAGTGTTTTTACATTAGGGATACGATGGCTATCCGAGTACAAAACCAGAGTACGAAACCTATCCAACTGCAGAGAGGTGTAAGAGAGGGTGACGCTATATCCCCGAAACTCTTGGAAGACGTTTTCACTTTCACTTGCTAATGTAATGGAAAAGATACGGTATTAACATCAATGGTAAGGTGAGTACATCACTCACCTTGGCTTTGCCGACGATATAGTCCTTATGGCAGAATCGCTATAGGACTTAAGAACTATGCTCAATCACCTCAATAGTGCTTCCCAACGGATAGGTCTTAAGATGAACATGGACAAAACAAAGGTCATGTGTAACTTCCATGTCACACCTATGCCGGTAGTTGTTGGGAGCGGTAACGGTCGGACAAATAGTCCGACTAGGTAAGTCCAACTTCGACCGAGAGGCCAATCGATGGATTCAACTCGGCTGGGCAACTTTCGGGAAATTACGACACATCTTCACGTCAGATATAACTCAGAATTTGATTGAGATTGTACAACCAGTGCGTATTACCAGTAATGACTTATGGATCTGAGACGTGGTCCTTCACTGCTGGCCGTATGAGGACGCTTAAGGTCGCTCAGCGAGCTATGGAGAGGGCTATGTTCGGGGTTTATCTGTGTGATAAACTTAGAAATGAGGAAATCCGCAGTAGAACCAGAGTGAGGGAAATGTTCAACGGATTAATAATCTGAAGTGGCAATGGGCCGACCATATAGCTAGAAGAACCGACAACCGCTTGGGAAAAATGGTTGCAGCCATGACCTGGTAGGACATGCAGGAAGTCGATGGATGCAGGTGGCTCAGGATCGTGCTTTGTGGCATTCCTTTGGGGATCTCTATCTTCATTATTACTGCCCTTCACAAGTCCACTACTTGTGAAGGGCAGTAATAATGATGATGTGATTTTTTTTTATAGTATAGGGTGACGAACGAGTACACAGTCCACCTGATGTTAAGTGGTCGCTGTGGCCCATAAAATAAGTAAACTATACAAATATAAACTATACGTACATACAAGCAATTAAAGTCATAGTTTGGGAGGGAATTGTAGGGTCCAATGATTTTATAGAAGCCAAACGTTGGTTGATTTCATCGAGTGATAGAGAAAGAAAGTGAGATCTGCTTTTTGATTCTTAATCGTTAATAAATGTAGATAATTATGGGCTACAGCATCCACTTACCATCAGGTGGACTGTGTTCGTTTGAAACCCTTATCCTACAAAAAAATAAAAAAGTGTTTAAAATTTTATCGAGAATACTTTGAAAAGCAGTAAATATACATTTTTATATACAACTTGTATTATTTATGAGTAACGCAAAACTTTCAGTGTACCCCACGTACATATATATCTATAACTAATAACTATTCCATCACACTCAGTTGTGAATTTTATAATTTAACACCAAAGACAAAATCACCTGTGAAAAGAAATCGGATGGTCATCGAATTGATACTGTAATTGTTTTATTTTTGTTGCTATATTAATTATGAAATGGAACGCTTAAAAGTGAGACAAAGTTTCGTGAAAAATATGTGAAATCCTTTCAAAGAACGAAAACCTATTATTTTACTCTTTTATTTATCTCCATAATTAAAAAGTAATTTTATAGAGGTATGGGTGACAAACAGTAGTGGCGACGTATGAAAATCCCAATAACATCCCGTGGATAACGTAAGAGGCGACAGAGAGAAAAAAAAACAGGAAATGGACTGCTAAGAAATTCAATTCTTCCTGATATCAACTTAAAATGATAAAAACTGTGGTTACCAATCCTGCTCCACCCGTCAAGCATAACAACTACGTCAAATACCCGCCTTATGAGGAAGTTGATGGGAGAGGCCTATGTACAGCTGTGACCCATAGACATCTACATTTATCCTCTATAAAGAATCAAAATGCTGATGCGTCGTCACCCGTGAGGACTTAGATGGAATGTCTCTTTTCTAGTAAAATGGGTCTCCAGTTCTCTACACTCACCATACGAAACACAGCAATGTCCAGCTTATATAGCTGCAGCATGGCTCTACCAAAGTTTAATTTGTATTAAATTACAGATATACCGTAAAATATAAAAAAGCAATTGCTAGGTGTCGTGTATTAATTATATTTAACTTGGGGATATCTATAAGTCCTCTGTAATTATTACATACATTCAAAATAAAGCTTTCTTTTTCAGGAACTCCATCCCTCCAACAACAACACTTGAAAACCTTAAAATAAAAGCCTCCTCAGCGAAGGGGAATGTTTTCGTTGATGTTGGTTTTTGGGGAGGAGTAATAGTCGGAAATAAGGTAAAAACTTTTTGTCTTTAATGTTTGTTTATAGCGAACTCTAGTTGTAAGTACTTCCGAGTTAGCCTCGGTCAGAATCTTTAGTTAGTATTCAGCAATTCACAGATAATCTCGAGGTAAAAGCTTTTTAAGCTTTAACATTTACCGTATACCGGATACCGCCGATATTCTTGACGAATGTGATATCACTTTTAAGAATTGTATATGCATTGATTCATTTATTTAGTTGCAAAGGTAGATAACCGGACTATCTCAGCGGATAAGCGCTGATACGCAAGCAAACCGAATTCAATCGAGACGAGGGGCGAGGGGTCAAGTTCCCGGGCAGCGGATTTTACGGGACGACATTTTTAGAAACGAAGCCAGCTTATCTTTTAAATGATGCCTTTAAAAGCATCAAATATATTTAAATTAGCTGTAACTGAATATTTTTGATTAAAATATATCGAACACAGTATTTTATGTTTTTTAAGATACTTCGAAAATGAGAAAGGTTGCCCCGAGCTATATGGGAATGATAAATACCTTAATAGTTCGTAAGAAATATTCTATTTTCGTATCTTCAACACTACAAGATCCAAAAAAATGTAATGTCCACCAACATAATATCAGAACATTGCACGGCGGACGCAAAAATAAGTGTGCCATGTACATAATCGATCCTTATAAAGATATGTGAAGTCCGCCAGCATGCACTGAAGCAACATGCAACTACCCAGTCATTGGTGGCCAACAATTGGAACGTATATAGGATGTAACATTACTTTTTATGTTCAAGGATAAAGTAAACATCATCTTGGTCCTTCTTTTTTTATAAAACTGAAGTTTGAACACAAACGAACTTGCAGTTCACCTGATGGTAAGTGGCCACTGCAGTCCATGGACACCTGCATCTGACATCAAAAATAGAAGGATACAGATTCGTTGTGTTCTCTGAGAGCTAAGATGTCATGCCCACAGCCTGCAAGCGCCAGAAATAGGCGACAGATAGAAGCAATATGGCGACAGAAATAGGAAAGAGAATAGTACCTAACCAGTCAGACTTCTAGGCAGAAAAATAGTCTTACCACCAAGTAAAATATTTTTATCACGACATATAATGCTTTTAATGTACCCTTACTATAACATTGATCTTATAATATACTACGGTTAAGCGGTTATAGGCGTGCTTGTAGCTTGTACGTAACGAATCTGTAGTGATGTACTGTATTTTCATTTTCAGGATTCCCTTCGTGACCTAGTGAAGGCTGGCGTTGTAGGTTTTAAGTGTTTCCTTTGTCCTAGCGGCGTTGATGAGTTTCCAAACGTACAAGCTGAAGATCTAGAAAAAGCTTTCGCTGCTCTCGAAGGAACAGGATCATTGTTAGCGGTGAGTTAATTTTAATGCAACTTAAGCAACCATTTTATAACCAGTCAAGCCTTACAGAAACACCTCACTTTTAGAAAAGTGTTCTAATGTTACGGTTTGGGTCTTCATAGCTCCTATCGTCTGAATTTAAAATGTTAAGCAACTACAAACTGTATTTTGTGGGAAGAGATCAACAGGAAATCGATCAGAGAATAAAAAGAGTTGTGAGGATAATTAAGGGTAGATTAAAAAAAGAGTTGACAATTACGTTACGTGACATTGTTGCACTATTTAGACTGGAGCTCTTTGATTCTCCTATACATCTTGTGGTGGCAGAAGATTATCCAAGTTACTACTATGTTAATATACGTGTGCGTTTTCTTATTTTTCAAATTACTGAAATTTTATAATGTGGACCTGGGATTAATGCGGCATAACATTTTTTTTTTTTTTTTTTTTTATAAGATAAGGGTGACAAACGAGCGAGTCCACCTGATGGTAAGTGGTTGCTGCGGCCCATAGACATCTACATCTATCCTCGCTTGCGAATCAAAATGCAGATGTGTTGTCACCCGTGAGGACTAAGATGGAATGCCTCATTTCCAGTAAAAAGGGCCTCCGGCCACCTGCACTCACCAAGCGAAACGCAGAGGTAAGCCTCTACTTCACGCTGGTATTCTGTGAGGTCGTGGTACCACCCCGGATCGAGCCGGCCTATCCGTGCGACAGCGAAAGCTGCGCGTGGCTCTACCACTGTTAAATGTTTAACGTGCTGTCATACATGCATGATCGCTTAGATATTAATAAACTAAGCATGATCGCTTAATTTGACTGATTGATGCGAATGACATGCAAACTATGTGCTGACGGTTGATTTATAATTTATTTTTTCTACGAATGACATTGATTGATCTTCTTTGGGTTGGCATTTCATACAACAGTTCCGGAACAACATGAATGAAGCACCGCAAGACCACCTCGAAGACGTGAGCTAATAACATATTTTTTATTTCTAGCGTTGACGAAAGTGAATATGTATTACGAACGTTCTTCAAATCATTAGGAATTCGTTTTGTTATTGATAAAAATATATTAAGATTAAAGTCCTAACCATGAGACACAAAAGAAAAATACAAATGGCTAAAAACAGAACAAATATTATGTCTTTTAATAAATTTTGTTTTTTGTTAGTCAGCGATAAATACATCTGCCTTTGACATTGCCATTAGAGATTTTGAGAAAAGATAATTCTATAACATCCTAGTATAAAGTTATCTGTGACAGCAGCTTAGTAATCTCTTCACTGTAATGCTGGCTAATGTCCTGAGATTATTATCTACATTAACAAACTAGCAGCTTAAAGCTGATGCGTGTGCATCTTGATGTTTGGAGATTTTAAGATTTTAAATGCGATGAAATGATGTATAGCATTGCATGAAGGTCCATCATGCAGCATGATCATTCACGTAGAGCATGTTATGCCGCATTACCTTCTAATTCCCGTAACTCATAATGTTTGATAGCAATTTATCGAGGGAATAAAATTTTATTTTACGTAAGCGTTATTCGTCTTGTATTTAAATTACAATAAATGTCGAAAGATATAACTAAACAGGTTTACCGTACCGTTACACCTTATCAAAAATCTGCTGCTATATATATGCCTCCCCATAGATTGCCTTATTTAGGAGATATTTGCCTTAATTGCCACGCTTGGCAGGCGGCTTGGCAACTGCAGTTTATTATTTCTCAGTTGTTATTAGAGAGGCTTCCCATCTCCTCGTTTGTTTCTCTCTTTTCTCTGTCGCCTCTTGCGACACCCACAGGATCTGTATAAATTTATTTTTCATTCTAATAGGTTATAAATCAATATTTTTTCTTTCTCTTTCGGCGGTGTGTAAAAGTTCATTAATAGACATGGGCTGTTCCCGTTGTAGGAAGAACTTGCATTAATCGGCACACTCGGCAGGTAGATTGACGAACGCATTGACATCTGTCAATCAAAAAAGACATCGGTCTCGCATACTTTTTTAACGTGGTAGAGCCACGCTGCAGCTATATTATGGTTGCACGAATGGGTTGGCTCAACCGGGGTAGGACCACGCTCTCACAGAATATCAGCGTAAAATAGCAGGTTAATGCTCCAGTTTCATATGGCGAGTGTAAAGAACCTGAACTGGAAATGAGGCATTCCATCATAGTCTTGAGGGGTGACAACGCATCTGTATTTTGATTCTTAATCGAGGATAAATGTAGATGTCTATGGGCCATAGCATCCACTTGCCATCACGTGTAATGTCTGCTCGGTTTTCATTACATTAAAAAAAACTTGACAGGGTATTTTACGTCAGGTTATACCGACAACCGCCATTTATTGGAACCTATAAGATTTTTCTGACATTTTCTATGAGACAATATGGAGGTGATGGATTCTCTTAAGCCATCACACCTCCTCACTGCACACTATACTCGTATTTACTAAAAGCAATATCTCTATATATAAAATTCAATTGCTATCCGTTAGCCTCGCTAAAACTCAAAACCGGCTTGACCGATTATGATGAAATTTTTTGTGTTTGTTTGAGTGGGACCCTGGAAGGTTTAGATTCACAATTGGAACCGGTAGGTAGCGCTGTTGCAGAAATCCAAAAATCAACCGGGCGAAACCGGGGTGGATCGCTAGTTATATAATTATATTTATTGAAAGAGATTGTGGTCTGAATATTTAGGTAATATCCCTGAGCAAAATTAAAAAAAAAATATTTTTCATATTTAGGCAATGATGTATTTTAATATAAAAAAATCATTGTTTTTATGTACTCGTGTATTTATATTTTACAGTGATATAAATGTTTTTATAATACTTTTAATTCGCAGTTCCATGCAGAGATGGAGGATGAAAAAAACGAATGCGACAAAAAAATATTGAAAAAAGGTATAATTTAACAATGACAATAAAGAAAAATATTTGAGATGTAGTATGTTTATCATAGTGATAGCCCGTAAAGTTCAGATAAATTAAACAACGTAAAAATTGGACCAAAACATGCAACTTTATTACTTTTATAATTCGCTTCGGAGCTTAAAAATAATGGTGTTGTTAGGAAGCATGCCTTAAATTTAACACATTTTTTTAATCAATTTGAATAAAAGTTTTCCCTAAAACCGTTGTGCTTAATTATTGATATTGTAATAAATTAAGCGTGCTTACCGTGTAATGGCAGTGCAAGAATATTCACTACCACATATCGTCGGGTGAGTGTAGTAGATGCGAGAAAGCGAAACTGAACTAGGAGATGGGCAGCAGCATCTTCCTGATAACTACTCCTAGCCTAGTAGATAGTACTGGCAAACCCAAGCATGGGAACTATGGCAAAATCCCCCCCCCCCTCCCCACTTATGAGGACAGTTACGGGGAGGCATGTTCAATTACGGACTTTAATAGGCTGTAATAGAATAGAATAAATTAAGAAAGAAAACTGAGACATAGGAGCATAGTATAATTTCATTCATTCATTCATTCATTCATTATAGCCCTTCACAAGTGCACTGCTGAGCACAGGCCTTCCCCAAGGAATGCCACAAAGCACGGTCCTGTGCCACCTGCATCCATCGACTTCCGTGGAGTTAAAAAAGCAAAATTTCATATTATGCGAGTAGATAGTTAATTTACAAGACGTTGTTTTGAAACAGAATAACATTTTATCACCTTTCTTGTTTGTCTGTCGTTCCGGGTGGAATTTAGAATCGAATTGATTTTAAACTAACTTCCTGATGAGCTGGAAACTTGAAATTTTGAATATAGCTCAAATTCGGATGACAATGCAGTAAAAAAACGTTGTAAAAATTATTTAATTTTTTTTAAATTTCATTTGTTTTAATTTACACTTACGGTTGTTGTCACTTGACGAATGTTATTATACTTTTTTTTTGATTTGGATTGACATGATACTTGTTATACTTTTATTTTATTTAAACAAAAAATATAGGGTATATAAAAGTAAATTAAAATTACAGCCTTTTTTATTTCTCAGACATACTGGTTTCCTCACGATGATTTTCCTTCACCGCCGGGCACGTGGTAAATCAGCACTTAAAATTGCAATTAACAATTTGGAGGGTACGGAGAACCCCCCCCTCCCCCCCCCCCCCCTCCCGAACCCGGGTTGCTCGCGTACTGTGAAATTTACAGCGAGCGCTTAGATCAAAGTATATAAGTGATAAAAATATTAAGTAGCATATTCAGTAACAACTATAATATGTTGATTATTTTTATTACATACTAGCTGTTCCTCGCGACTTCGACTGCGTGTTATTTGGGGTTTTAGTTTTTCTTCGCAGAACCCTAATTCTTTTGCTAAAATAAAAGTAGCCTAAGTTATTATGCCTTGTGACATCAGCTCTCTGCCAGTGAAAGTCCCGTCAAAATCAGTCCAGCCGTTTCAGAGATTAGCCGCAACAAACAGACAGACAAACAGACCGATAGACAGACAAAAATATTAAAAATTTTGTTTTTGTTATAAGTATCATATATACTTTAATATGTATTTAGTAAAAAGCCGTAATTTTGACATTACAAACAGACACTTCAATTTTATTTATTTGTATAGATATACTTATATACCCTGGTGATGCCGAGAGGCAAAATCGGTTGGTTTTATATTTAATAAATTAAAATATAATAAGTGAAACAAGTACCTACATGTGTCAATCTAAATCACAAAAATATAAAAAATAATATAATTTCTATTATATTCTTTGCAGATCCGGAGGAGTATACTACGTACTTAGAATCACGACCTCCCAAAATGGAACTCAATGCTATATCACTAATTTCGAGCTTTCTGAATAAAACTGAGTTAGTATATTTTCTTCTTCATTAGATCGTGACGATCTATTGGTGGACGACGCCCCCTCCCAATGGTGCGAGGATTTATCGTACTCGCCATGGTTGGCAGGCAGCTCGGATCACGGTACTAGAGGTAGCAAATATTTCATGCAGCTCATCGTCGCTGGTCTGGGTCAGTCGTTTTTATTCGTACTGTACGGCATTCCCCATAGCGGCCTTTTTAGATATCCATGGGATGAAACAAGGTGATTTTTTCATAGGATAAGGGTGACAAGCGAGCTCACAGGCCACCTGAAGGTGTGTCTATGGCCCATAGACATCTACACCTATCCACGTTTCCAAATCACAATGCAGATGCGTTGTCAGCCATAAGAAGGGTCTCCGGTTCTCTACATACACCATACGAAACACAGCACCATCTAACTGCTATTTTATGCTGGTATTTTGTAAGAGTGTGGCCCTCTCCAGTAGAGTCAATCCATTGATGCTGCAGCCTTGCTAAAATTGCATGATGGCCCTACCACGTAAAAGTTTAATATACAAATATATATATCGACCTCTTCATTATCTCTTTGTATTTATTATCTTGGTCTCCTTGACTGGTCTACCACAAGTTCATAGACGGATTATTTATGTTTGTGATTAAATATATTGATATAATAACAAACATACATTTTGCTTCCGCTAAATTTTCCAACATTTTTAGCGTTCGAGTGCATGTAGTACACGTATCATCGGCGAGCGTGGTGCCGCTGTTGAACAAAGCGCGCGAAGAGAGGTTGGCAGCGGGCAACAAAGCCTGGCGAGGAGGAGTTACAGCTGAAACGTGTCACCATTACCTGTCGCTTAGTGCTGAACAAATTCCGCGAGGGCGAAGCGAGTACAAGTGTGCGCCTCCTATTAGGGATGTGGAAAATAAGGTTTATTTTTCTGTTCTTAAATTCACACTCCATAAATTCTTAATGAGTGAGGAGACGCTTAAACGATTTCCTCAAAGGAACTGAACTTTTGAATCTGGCCTTTTAGAAAGGGGTAGGCTCTTTTCTAGAAGGTTTCTAAGTCGTACCGGCTCAAAAAATCCAATGGTGACAATATATTACACATTCTGGAATATATTGTCACCAGGAGAAAGTGCGTTGCGTGGCAGAAAGTACCTCGTAAAACGCACTTAAAAGCAACAAGTAAGTATTAATATGGCCTACTAAAATTACTACTGTAAAGTGGTAGGGAAATGTGATAGAAAATTGTATGTATTATACATTTTACGTAAATTAATATTAGATCGGAATCCGTTACCGATATTATATCAGACTATTTGTGTCCCGCGACTTCGCCGCGTGGAATTTATTATGATTAGATTTTATGGGTTTTAATTTTTTTTTGCGCGGAACCTGAATGATTTTTCTAAAATAAAAGTAGCTTAAGTTACTCGTTATAACATTAACTATCTGCCAGTGAAAGTCACGTCAAAATCGGTCCAGCCGTTTCGGAGATTAGCCGGAACAAACAGACAGACAGACAAAATTTAAAAAATGGTGTTTTTGTTATAAGTACCGAAAAAGGCTGTTATTTTGACATTATAAACAGACACTTCAATTTTATTTATTTGTATAGAAGATATCAGATAATGTAGATGCAGTAGCGACGATTTCGTCCAAGATACATATATTATCTCTTTGACGCTGTTCCCGTCGCCGGTCGTGACAACACTTTTATATACAGTAACCGGTATATTAGAGATGGTTGTACCACCATCTATTGGATGTCATAAAGCCCTTCTGGCCTTTTGACTCTTTAGTAAAAGTTTTGACGAATTCATCATGCTGTCACTGTATCATTGCGTACGTTTGACAAAATATTTATGAGGTACGGTGAATTTCAATTATTACTGATTACTGATTTAGCTCGTGGAGGAGAAAAAGAAACATATTTTGCTTTTAATCAAAATTAGAATTGTAAAAAATAAAATGAAATGTCATAAAATCCGTACCTAACATTTCGAGGTCAAATTGCATGTTAGTCACAGACTGTTATGCACAAGTAATGATTCAGCTTATTAAATATTTTTGTTATATTATTTATATCACGGTTCCACATTATGGACCGTGTTTTTAGGTAATTGTGTAAAAACCAATTTAAATGTTCCATTTTATTGGATTTCAAAATTTTATATTTTTTTCGATTTCTAAATGAAAATAGGTTTCTTTTTTCATTTATTTTTCTTACATTTCTATACTTTTTTTCGCTTGTTTTAAAAATATTTTGAAGACACGTGAAGTATGCTGACAACATAGAATGCTGACAAGCACCTGTACCGATGCTCCAGTGCTTGTAACTTGTAAGCTTGTAAGCGCCGCGATGGCGGACATTTCCTTGCCCTTAAACTCTTTTAGTATTGAAGGATACCTGTGCCAATCAGTGGGACGTATATTATAGCATGTAAATACTACTATTAATACTTGTTTTAAGTGTTCAATATTAATATAGCGTGCATAGTTCAGAACTATTATATAACACACGCATTTTAATTTTGTTTATAGGAAAAGCTGTGGAAATATTTACTAGAAGACAAGTTAGATATGGTTGTATCTGATCACTCGCCATGCACTCCAGAACTCAAATGTTCTAACAATTTAGAAGCATGGGGAGGAATTTCATCGGTTCAATTTGGTAAAATAATTTTATATTATGTTACATATAATTAAACGCGCAGACCAATATACCGCCCCTTTAAATTAAAGTGTCGAATGGCTAAATACATTTTTAATATGGGCAAGCAAAAGATTAAATACTATGCCACAATAATAAGACATAGACATATTTATCATTAGCGTTAATAAACAAAAGAATATCTTGTTCATCAGCCCGTAGAATTAAAAAAGACACTTTACGTCTGGAGTAAACAAGACGGCATACCACGATGATAGATGGAAGCCATGTAATTTTTTGGCACGTCCCATCTCCTCTAACGATACTTTCAGGACGAAATGGTGTGGTGGATATCTTACGCCGCCATCACACGGCAAGAAATAAGCACAGACTAAAGAACATACTTAGTAATTATTTCTTTCAGTCGAACTCTATGTTTTCTATATTTATTTTATATTAACTTGTAATTTTATGATGATTTCATAAATTTTCGCAAATACTAAATGATCAATAAAAACCCACGAAAAATAACAAATAACTAATGTGAATAACCAGCGCACCGGAAAATATTTAGCCCGGGCTAACTAAAAAAATAATAATTAATTAAATACATGTCCATTTATTCCTTATAATTCATAGATTACAGTAGTAATATTACTTTAACAGTATCTAACGGGAATACTGAAAAATTAACAATTAAAATATGAAAAACACAATAATTTAAAAGCAAATTAAAAGCGATTGTCTAGTTGTTTTCACCGGTATTATAAGTTAAAATATGCACTGGTCAGTAATTAATAGTATAAAACAAAGTTTTAGGTACATTTAACATTTATAGGTATTTTAAGATTGATGGAAAATGTTTTTAGTAATTCATTATTCCTTACAAGAATTTTTTTCATATTACATTAGCCAGAACACGAATATGATAACGACTCTTTTTTCAAATTTTATGATTCCGGTTAGATTTTGATAAAATCTTTAGGCCGTGTACGTTTACTATAGCAAATTGGTGTCTTTTTATGTTTAATAAAATTAAGTTACGTTAAAATTTCTAGTGGGCCCTAAAACGATTCCCTTCTTTAGTTTTATCCAATTTGTTGTACTCGTATATTTAACTTGATCCTGTTTGTGAAAACTTGTAATTAGCCTTTTTTCTCTATTTATAATGTTTTTGATACTAATTGTCTTAGTTGTTAAAATAAATAATATAAAATATTTTCATTTTGTTCCCACAGGCTTGTCATTGTTTTGGACTGAAGCTAGCGCGCGTGGTTTGAACCTGACATCGATTTGCAAATATATGTGTGCTGCGCCTGCTCAGCTCTGCGGTATCCAAGACCGCAAAGGCGCTATTAAACCCGGTCTTGACGCTGATCTCATTTTCTTTGACCCAGATGCTGAGTTCACAGTTAGCACCGATATAATACGACACAAGAATAAGGTAAATTATATTGCAATATTTTTGTTCTAGAACTCTATTTTATGATCCTAAAACGAGTTATATAAAATTGATGAAAAATTCCTGGATGATTTCGACTTACCATTTAAAATTAAACTTGTAAGTTGTCAACTGCGCGAAATGTTATACCATACTGCATGTGAGCATGTATAGCCGAAAACATATTTGTTTACGGGAGCGGTACGATTACCTTTTACTATTAGAATATAATACAATACTAGTGTGTAATGATAATTGTACCACCGTGGTGTGGATAAACTTCTTTAGGGTTTTTAGGGTCGTACAAGATCAGGAACTCTCCAAACACGTACTCTCCTCGAATTAGGATGAAAATCAAATCGTGATTTATCGGTGAAAAGCATTAACGACCATTGATGAGGTTCCTAGTTCATATATTCTTTAGCCCATTGCAGTCTTCGCCCACGTATTCCTCTTCTTAGAACTGGTACCTGAAGTGGTCTCCGAGAATGAAGATTAGCTTCGTACAGTCTCCTCCTCACAAATTGGCTCACAAGCACCTGGTGTTTAGACTGTATGTAGTCTTGGGACTAATTGCATCGCCGTAACATTTGCTTTCTCGCAGCAATTCAAAAAAACTATCTTGTCTGGGTGCAGTATTGCGGTTTGATCTTGATGTTTCTCCGCCACCTCCCCTGTGATACGATAGCGTGAGGACAACCTCGAAATCATATTTTTCCTGGTGCCTATTGCCGCAGCGACGTCAATTTGAAAAGCAACCAGCCTGTAGCATTCCCACTACTCTTAAGACTCTTCTCCAGTTAAATTTCGACGTTGCATTGCAATAAAATGTCGAATTATCACATTCAACTCAAGTTGAATCAAACAGATGTTTAAATAGCGGTATTCAATAAAAGAAAAAACAATTACGCTGAGTACATTCGCTCAATTATTACCGCCAACAAATTTTAATTTTTTCTTTTAAAATTTGGAATCAATCTAGAATAAATGGCCAACAATTTGATATTAAAAATATTTTACAGTACGTAGTCAATATATTATTTAGTTAGTTTTAAAATTTTAAATGAACTAAATCATATATTGAGTTAGTTAAAAATATCCCTATACCGTGTGATGTGTTTATTTATACTATCAAAATAGCTATTCGTTCCAATTTGGTCAAAAAACTTTTGTTTGGGATGTCTCTTGCTGACTCTGCCACTTACTTCTGCAGCATAAATTTGAACCTTTGCCACCGAAGCGTTCCTTTATTAATCTTAGTCACAATATCTTTTACAAAAAACTTCTTTTGTATGTTACACAATTTCCTATCCTATAATTCAGAGTCAGTTCAAACTAACATACCTCTTAATGACCGCATTTCTATTGCATTAGTTTTACTTTCGTGCTTCTTTTGCCACACCCAGCTTTCACTACCATGCACTATGGTAGGGACTAACAAAGCATTGTGAATTGTCATACGTGCCTTTTGTAACACATTCTGTGTCCTGCATATATAATATAAATTTAATAAGAGAGAATATATAAAAGAGATGATTAATTAAAAAGATAGGAATGCTCGGACATAACGAGCTAGACTAGACTTTTTTACTTATGTATTTATTTTATCAATTGGAATTGTAACTATTGTTAGAAAATATTGTACTTTGAATTTTATTGCCACTTCTTCTCACAAGATCACCCTCAGTAAGGACTTGTTGAAGCAATGGCAGTAGGTACTATTTAATGATTTCTTATATTTACGCGAACACTACACATTTAAATAAAACTAATTTTACGGATTTTATCGCGTATATTAACTTATTTTATATTCCTGACGTTTCGAGTACTTTCCAGCACCCATGGTCACGAGGGAGACTGAGGTGTATGATGTCCCAATGTCATAGTTAGCCACGGCTTCCTCCAGATTAAAAATTAAAAATTATTAATTTTTGTTCCGATCTACGCAGTATGAACTTACAGTATCATGAAGTCTTGCAGTTGTATGCTTGGGTTGGGATTTAATTTTATTAATATCTTTTAATTTTATTATTATCTTTAACGCGGGTTTTTATGGATCCATAAAAACCTAAGCATACAATTGCAAGACTTCATGATACTGTAAGTTCATACTGCGTAGATCGGAAAAAAATTAATAATTTTTAATTTTTAATCTGGAGGTAGCCGTGGTTAACTATGACATTGGAACGTCATACACCTCAGTCCCCCCCGTGACCATGGGTGCTGGAAAGTGCACGAAACGTCGGGAATATAAAATAAGTTAATATACGCGATAAAATCCGTAAAATTAGTTTTATTTAAAAAGTAGGTACTATTATTTATTCTGGGGCGATGGTATAGCCATAGTAACTACTACTCTTCTTAGGCTGTGGTATAGCTTTCTTGATTTCCAAAAAAATCACCCCGCGAGGATCATACTAAGCAACAGAGGGATCAAGGCTGATCATTAGGCAAAGGAATAAATACATTTAACTTTTTTTTGTTTAGTTTACGACAGGCTGTTTTCCGCAACTCCACGTCTATGCGCGTATTTTGCGTGTGGGCAGGAATAATGTGATTATTCGAGCCATGAGATCTCCCCGAAGAAGCTCAACAGTCCTTTGATGTTGCATGCAACTTCGGGAGGTGATCCCGGCGTGCTGAGATGTTTAGCCCTTTACGTAGCGATCTCCGGACATTTCAGTAGCACGTGGGCCGCCGTTTCTTCCTCCCCCATACATGCCCTGCACAGGGTACTATCTGTAACACCTATAGTAAATAAATGTTTGTTAAAGGTGTCGTGTCCTGTGATAGCACTTGTTACCATCCTGATCTGCGGCTTGTTCAGTCTCATTAGAAATTTGGTTAAACGACTGTTTATTTCAGGCAGGGCCTCCCTAGCTTGTCTACAGTCTACTAGATTTTTCCAAGGCTGTTTTGACTAGTGAAGTGTCTACGTACCAGTGAACGAACGTTACCAAAGGGGATTGGTGTGATTGGGTCCGGCCCTATAATGGCCAGAGCCGATCCTCTTCTGGCCAGTTCGTCTGCTGCATCGTTGCCTCTGGATCCACTGTGTCCCTTTATCCATTGCAGAGTCACATTGTTGTTTTTACATACATCATTTAATCGTTGATGGCATTCATATATTAGTCCCGAGTTTACCACATTGCAACTCAGAGCTTGTAGTACCGCCCTACTGTCAGTCAGTATTCTGATGGGGAAGTCATTAACCTTTCTAGCATCTATTGCTATGGCCGCTTGAATGATACCCATACATTCCGCCTGAAAGACTGTGTTATAGGTACCCACCGGTGTGCATATGTGGATATCGAGGTCTTCAGAGAAAGTTCCAGATCCTACCCCTTCATTTGTTTTAGAACCATCGGTGAAAACTCTAAGCTCTTTTGGGCTTAATCCTTCCGGCTGGCTGGTTTCATTTAATTGTATCTTGTACTTCTTGTCGAATACAAATTGTTTAGGAATCTTATCGTACTTGGCTTGTAAGATAGGAATTTTTGAGTGAATTCTATCACTTATGCCTGTATGAGGGACACTATTTTTACCCCAAAGATTTCTTTCAAGAATCTGATGGCAGCTAAAGTCGCTTCTTGCTGTATATGTAGATGAAGCGGGGTTAGCTCCAGAATTGCTTCTAAGGCTGCTGTTGGCGTAGTCCTTATGCAGCCTGTGGCAGCCATACATGCCAGTCTCTGGTAGCGCTGAAGCTTCATTATAGTAGTGGCTTCATTTGTCTTGGTCCACCATACCAGAGCGCCGTATGTGATCATGAGCCGAATTATAGTTTTGTACAGCCAAAGTATGATTTTTGGCGTCAGACCTCATCTTTTGCCAATCATGTTTCTGCATTGCCAGAAATTTATACTAGCTTTGTTCATTTTGTTTTCTATGTGTTTATTCCAGTTAAGGTTGCTGTCCAAGGTAAGACCTAAATATTTTACCTCAGAGGATAGCTGGAGTTTTGTGCTGAAAAGACTTGGGAGATGATAGTTATTGAGCATTCGTTTTTGTGTGAACATTACCGAACCGTTTTATTTGGATTGACGATTAAGTCGTATTCCCTGCACCATCTCTCCACTATACGGAGAGCCGCTTGGGTCAGGTCGCACACTATGCTTGCTGTCTTTCCAGAGACCATTATTGTCAGGTCATCAGCATAACCTACTGTGTAGAAGTGATTGGCATTTAATTTGCTGATGAGTTCATTAATGACCATATTCCACAGGAGAGGTGAGAGAACCCCACCCTGCAGGCAGCCTTTTTTAATTTGGATTGGTTGAGATTCACCAGCAATCTTTATTATTCGTGTACTGAGCATGTTTACTATCCAGTCAATCATTGCCGGTTCAACTTTATGTCTACTGAGTGCACCTTTTATGCTGGAGAAGTGCGTTCTGTCAAAAGCTCCTGCTATATATCTATGAAGGAACCTAGACATAATTCTTTGTTTTGGATGCCTTCTTCAATCTTTGTTATTCTGTTGATTTGCCAAGACTGTAGGCGTGTTGCTTGTCGTGTAGTAGTAAATTCATTAGCGCCGACCCCCTTAATTTCACACATACTCTCCATCGTCTTTAGGAGAAAGTATGTGAGGCTAATGGGCCTGTAAGATTTAGGGTCTGTGTAGCCGCTCTTATATGGTACATGGGCTCTTACTCTGTATTACTACGAAGATGTCGTCTGCTACTTCCTTCGTTAGGTGACCTGAACGCGCACACGTTAAGGCCACACCCAAATCTGTTTTAGCAGCGGAAGCGTAGCTTGTTCTTGCAGCCTTTGGTTGCTGGTCGAGACACACTTTTCAGTGCTCACCCCTCGGCGAGGTGGACTCTTCAGCATCCTTTTGGCTGCTCTTTCGTTCTTCCCAGGACGCTCGGCCGCTCGCTGCTTCCAGGCGGATATCTTAGAGCTAGTTCTCGCTGCTGCGACTTCCACTTGGACTGGATTTTTATCCTTCCCAGCTTCAGGACAGCTACCGGTTCCAGCTCCAAGCACTCCAGTCGCAGTACCTTACCCAGCCTCCTTGGTTTTAGTTTTAGAAGTAGCCAGCGCGGCTCGTTCTCTTCGGCCTTTTTCCAGCTGCTTCTTATTCTTCTTTTTGGCCTTTCCACTATTGTCTGCAAGGATAGACACTCCTGATGGTCCGTCAGGTCGGCAAGTACTCTTTTTGGGTGCCTTGCCTTTTCTTTTACGGCTCACCACTTGCCAGGCAGCAAAGAAAAGGTCGTCCATTCTCTGTGACTCCGCAGGAGTTTTGTTACTCGCGGGCTCTTGCTCCTTTTTCTCGTCCAGCTCCTCAGGTTTGGTTTTTGGAAACGTCCAGTGCGGAAGTTGTCCTCTTGGTGGGACCACCTACGCTGGACGGTACTGTCCATGGAACCGTCGGTTTAATGGCGGTTCCCCCTTATTCTTTGGTATCTCTGGTAAGCACCTCTGACACCTCTCCCTCTTTCTTACTGGGCCTTAAATTGTCCATTAGTTTTGTGTTTAAAATTCGTCCCCCCGGCTTCCCACCCTCCATGGAGCCCGCACTTTTGGGAACGCCCTACTTTAAAAAAGAATTTCAGGCGTTAGGATTACCGGGAGAATATAGGGACACGAAGTTGGCTCACAGCGCGACATCGGGAGCTCGATCCAGCTGGTAGATGGGGCTGACAAGGTCCATCTCCACTACCCGAATAAACTGTCACTTGCTCTGTCAGCATGGCCTTTACCACCACCCAGTCTCTTTTCAGGAACACTAGGCAGCCCCCACATCCTTCGCCTGCGACCCTCTGACGGGGCGCTTGTCCATTTCCCTATCTATGGCTAGCAGATAGGGCCACCGTTTAACTTGAAATCCGGAGGATATATACCCCAGCGACGATCGGCTCAACTCTCCAGGACTCCTTCATCCCTGCGTACGGCGCTCGACTGCGCAGGTCCTAGCGCAGGTGAGTGTGTTAGTCCACCGGATACACCCACTCTCTCCGGCGGAACCGTCCCCTCCTCCTTTCTCATCTGGGCTTGGGACCGGCAATGGCGAAGTTTAAGCACAATTACCTTACTAAAATACGAAAACTACAAATTATCGATATTCGGTGTCGACTTATTTATAGGCGTGGTTAGTTTCAAGTACCCACTAAGTAATTTAATTATAAATTATTTAAACAATTAATGATATCCTACCAAAAACATAATTTAAAAAAAATAGTGCATGTAATTGTGTACACGCGTACGAATTACAACTTCTTTACGACATATCATTCTTATTTTATTTTATGTTATTAAGTAGGTTAAACAAAAGTAATACTCATGCAGCCCCGGAGGCGAAACGTTACAAGGAAACTCGACGTTTTTGATTTTTAATATCTTATTCAATTTCGATGACGCCGTGACTGGTACGCCAGACCCGGATCTCGATGACACTGAGGTCATCAGTATGAAAGAGATTGAACGTGCGATTCGAAGTTTGAAATGTGGTAAGGCTGCGGGACTAGACAGAGTTACTGCTGAAATGGTCAAGTATGGTGGGCCTCGCGTCTGGGACAGCTTTCGTCTGCTGTGCAATTTGTGCTGGCGGACGGGGGATGTCCCGGATGATTGGCGATCCGCAGTCATTGTGCCTTTATATAAAGGTAAAGGTTCACATTTTGACTGCGGGTGCTATCGGGTGATCAGCTTGACCAGTTTAGCAAGTAAAGTTTACTCGAAGGTTTTGACACGTAGGATGCAAGAGAAATCGGAAAGATTTCGATGGGAGGCACAATGCGGATTTAGACCTGGAAGAGGATGCACGGATCAAATGTTTTCTCTCCGCATGATCACGGAAAAGCTTCTGGCTGCTAACCAGAAGATTTTCTGTGCTTTTGTGGATCTTGAGAAAGCATTTGATAAGGTTGTAAGGAAGAAAATGTGGGAACTGTTGCCGGGGTATGGTGTGGATGGTCAATTGCTAAGGGCTGTGCAGTCTCTTTACTGTGACTGTAAAGCCTGTGTGCGGGTAGGGCATGACCTGTCACCCATGTTTAACGTCCAAACGGGCGTAAAGCAGGGTTGTGTCATGTCTTCCTGGCTGTTCATACTGTATCTCGACAGCTGTTTACAGAAGCTGAAAGATAGCTGTTTGGATGTGAAATTGGGTGACATTAAAGTAAATTGTCTGCTGTATGCTGATGATGCAGTGCTTATTGCACCATCAGAGGCAGAACTGCAGGCATTAGTCACGTGTATGAAAGAGGAATGTGAAATTAAAGGTCTCCGTTTGAATGCTAATAAAACTAAGGTTCTGGTATTTGAAAGGGACGAAGAGAGAACGAAGTGTGAAATATGGGTAAATCAGGAATGTCTAGAACAAGTAAATGAAATTGTATACTTGGGGAGTGCTTTTAGCCGGGATGGAAGATGTGATTTAGATGTGGACAGGCGTGTCGCTGCCGGGAACAAAGTCAATGGTGCCCTGGCTGCGTTAGTCAAAAGGCAAGGCGTAGCGAAGAGTGCACGCCTCGCAATACATAACGCAGTGTTGGTACCGACTTTGTTATATGGCAGCGAAACCTGGGTATGCCAGAAGAAGCATAAAAGTAAGTTGAATGCAGTGGAGATGCGATCTCTTCGTAAAATGTGCGGCGTTACCATGGCCGACCGAAAGCGAAACGAAGAGATTCGCAATATGGCAGGTTTGAAAGATGACCTTATCACAAAAATTGATAAGGGCGTGCTTCGGTGGTTTGGGCACGTTGAGCGAATGAGTGAAGACCGAATGGTGAAGAAAATATATAGCGCGAAAGTTAATATTAAAAGGTGTCGAGGTAGACCGAGACTAACTTTCGAAGACCATGTGAGCAAATTGCTCGAAGAGGGTAGGGTCAAAAGTACTCGGATACTTAGACGTGCATGCATGAGGAAGATAATGAATCTGAAAGAAGCGAAAGAGGTATGTAAGGATCGTGACACTTGGCGATCTGTTCTCTCTGGCTACCCCGTCAGGGATTGTGCGTGAAGATAAGTAAGTAAGTAAGTAAGAAAAAAAATGTGACATTCTTTGATATTGTATTTGCAACTTTGCAAATTTGATCCAACTATATTGTTTAAGGTTAAGCTATTGTTTAAGAAGAACTAAAAAAGTAAAACGTTATTAAAATTAGTCAAATTTTATTTTAAATTAATTGAAAAATTATACCTCCTATTACTATTACACTAAATTACTATGATTTAAAAAACTGATATGAAACTTAGTTCAGGTCTTTACTCCTTTCTGCTGTAGTTAATCTAAAATACAGAAAAATAATTTGATGCAACTTCAAATATCCTTATTTTTTTTTCAGCTTACACCGTACGTCGGAAAAACTTTAAAGGGCGTTGTTAAGAAAACATACCTTCGTGGTCAGTTAATTTATGCTGATGGTGACATTATTGAAGAACCTAAAGGAAACTTGCTGCTAAATAACTTTTAATATATAAAATATAACACAATATGTAGAATTTTATTACATTGTTCTTTTCATTTCATTCGATAGATTCCTAGTTCTGTGATCTGACTTGATTCAATTACATATATAGTGATTACTTATATAGTGACAGTGCAAGTCTCACTATAATATCTTTCTTATCGGCAGATCGTATAATCAAGCAAAGCATTGTGAGTTTCAGCAGATTATAGTATAGAAACATTTGTGATATGCCTACTTATACGTTACCTATTTATTACCCTTCTTGTCTCGTAGGTCTAGTGATAGTAAACGCTACTGCTTATCATGAGGTCCCGGGTTCGAATCCCAGTTTGGAAAACAAATCTGTGATTGAGCTTTTCTGTTAATAAATTCGCAGTAGCTGCATGGAGTCAGGAAATTGGCCGTGTTTCTTCACCCCCGTGCCTCGCCCTGATCCTCTCTTCGGTCGTATCGGCTTAGCGTCCCATCGGTCTATAAAAGTGAGGAAATAGAGAGTGCACCTATAATTGTACATACACTTGGGTACTATAATCCTGTCCTGCACAGATGGCTAGTCTCTGTTAAAGCTGGCCGTCGTGACTGAAATTCGCACCGGAGGATATTATTATTATTAATCCCTTTGATCTGCTTTTGCTTTTTCACGAAATAGCTCTCAATCAAGCAATCATTCGTACACTTTGGATAATTTGGCGGCCTAAAGGTCAGATCAAAGCAAGGCATGTCGTTGAAAATTATTGAAAGTTCGACCATACTGTAGTATGTCGCCGTCACAATTACACACGTGTAACGTGAGGGACGTAATTACATTTACCACCAAAGTATACAAACCAACAGCAACTCTACCCATCTTATTGTTACACAGAGCAGCCTCTCAGCAACACCATCTTCCTTGCCTGAACTAGAAGAATTACTACAATTCTGTCATTCTTCGAGGCTTAGCACTCGTAGCATGACTTCACTCGTAAAATGACTTAGAGGGAATATCTCGCGCACGGCACCTACTGTGAACATTATACTGCACAAACGAGTGGGGGTTTCTCGATATACCCTCAATTCTAACACGCCAAAATAGATACTCCGTTAGCGTGATGAAATCTCTCGCTCACTCTCGATCCATCCGGTATTTTATAGACACCAAACTTAATGGTAAAGAAGTATCATTCTCCACTGAAGTTAAATATTAGGGCGTAACAATCGACCAAAAACTAACCTGGAACTCTCATCTTAGCAACGTATGTCATAAGGCTAAAAATTCTTTAGGAACGTGCATGGTGCAGTCGTATGATTGGGAACAACTGGGGCTTGCGTCCCAGCATAATCCTAAGATTGTACATTAGCATAGTGAAGCCGATTTTTACTTACGCCTCCATTGTTTGGTGTAATAAAAGCAACCAAAAGACGACTGCAGACAGGCTAAATAGTCTACAAAGGACTGTCTATTTAATGGCAACTGGAGCGATGCGACCATAATCTAGAGCGGATCTTAATGCACTTCTATACCTAACACCCCTTGATTGTTGTGAGTGTCTACAGACCCCATGTTCTATATAACTATATAGTTTTTGTTAAGCTTAATAAACAGAATAAATCTGTTGTAATATGTGGAGACTTTAATGTCAATCTCCTAGAAGCTTCCCCCACCAATATTAAATTTAGATCATTGTTTAAATCATATGATTCCTTTGATTTATTTTTAGAGCCAACGCGTATTACTGAGTGTAGGCCAACATGTATACGAGTAGATAACATTTTTACAAATGTTAGGCCGTGCATAAATGTATAATTCAAAACTTGAGTTCTGATCACTGTTAATAGTTAGTTTCATTACCTTATGTTCACAAAAAGCAAGTGGATGAGAAAATTGTGTTTGTTCCAGTAAAGCTCGTCGCTTGGAGAAGTTTAGAAGAAACATAGTGAATAAACTTCCATCACTTTGATACCAGAATAACAACATTGTTTAAGCTTATTTGCAATGAATTTGATAATATTTTTACTTCTAAAACGTTCTCCTCGAACAGTAAGAAGTCATTCAATGAATGGGCGAAAGTAGGAGTCCATAAGAGTTCAGTTATATGTGAGATGTTTGCTTCTTACTTTTCCTGCGTTTATAGCCTAGAGGATGATGAAAGTTATGATGAATACATGTCCGAGTACTTACAATCACTAGTGAATAACAGCTAAATCCAAAAATAGAACATGATACAATTTAAAAAAAAAACTAGAAGGACTAGATTGTAATAAAGGCGCAGGGCATGATGAAGTATCACCAAATTTTATTTAAAAAAAAATGTGCCTGTGAATTGATATATCCTTTAAAAGTAATTTACAACTTGTCGTTAGCTTCTGGCGTGTTTCCTTCAAAATGGAAAATAGCAAAAGTATTCCCCATACATACGTTATCAAATATCGATATCATTTCCAATTATAGACCCATTTCATTTCTGTCAACTTTTGCCAAAGTATTTGAGTCGTTGATTTGTCATCATTTTAAACAACATTTAGGCCTCTATATAAGTGATTATCAGCATGGGTTTTTCAGCCGGGCTATTCACAATCGTCTCGGAAAGCGAAATCGACTCGGATTCGATAACTTCTCGCACCGAAACCAATAAAGCTGAATTGTTGTGAAAGGTGTGTTTTTCTATACATGCTGCTTTGTGAAACGAGACGTATCTCAGTTTTTTTGTTATTTTCGATATCAATGGCTAACTCCAAAATATTGCATTATATTTTTGATCCGATGTTTTCGATCCGGAAGAGCTCATATTGTTAATGACAACTTATTGCGTTCTCTTACTTAAATATGAAATAATTAATTTAAGAGCATCACTTCTTACACCGTAGTGTTGAAGTTTCCTGATTAATGTTTCATGGTGAACACAATCGAAGGCCTTGGATAGGTCACAAAACATACCCAAAGCATCCTGTGAATTCTCCCATGCATTAAAGATATATGTAATCAGCTCAACACCGGCATCAGTTGTTGAGCGACCCCTTGTGAAACGAAATTGATTTTATTAAGTAAATTATTTATATTAAAAGATTTAACATTTGATCAAGAACAATTTTCTTCAAAAATCTTACTAAGTGTTGGTAGTACAGAAATAGGTCTAAAATTGGCAGGGTTTAATGTACTACCAGATTTAAATAAAGGTATTACTTTACTATGCTTCATTAAATCAGGAAACACACCAGATTCGATACTAGTATTAAAAATAATAGCTAAATGAGGCGCGATTATATCTATTATAGACGCAATAACTTTAACGGAAATCCCCCACAGATCCGCAGTTTTCTTAACATAAATAGTTTTAAAATATTTTACAATATCTTTTGATGACACTTTATGAAATGTAAAATTCTTTGTACACGCATTTACATTTTGTTTAAGTAATGATTCGGCGATGGCAGGAGAAGAATTCAGTGACTTAGTGGTCAAGATCAGAATATCAGTAAAATATTTCTCAAAAACCATTGCTACGTCCTGATCTGATACAGTTAATTTGTTGTTAACACTTAACTGGTAATTTAAATTGCGAGAGTTGATCTTACTAGTTTCGCTATTAATTATACTCCATGTCATTTTAATTTTATTGGAAGCCGTCTTAATTTGGTTGTTCAAATGCAAAGACTTGGCTATGGAGCAGACTCTTTTAAATATTTTTGAATATTTTTTTACATATTCCCTAAATTCGACGCTATGATTATATGACCTTTCATGGTAAAGATCATATAACCTATGTCTGTTCTTATGGACTCCTACTGTCGCCCATTCATTGAATGACTTCCGAATGTTCAAGGAGAATGTTTTAGAAGTAAAAGTATTATTAAATTTATTGCAAATAAGCTTAAATAATGTTCCATACAAAAAATTAGGATCATTTTGGTATGAAAGTGAAGGAAGTTTTTTCACTATGTTACTTCTTAATTTCTCCAAGCGACGTGCATTTACTGGAACAGACACAACTTTCTCTTCTAATAGCTTTTTGTGAACATAAGGTAACGAAACTACTTGTCCATAGTGATCAGAACTTAATTTTTGAATTATACATTTATGCAACGGCTTCACATTTGTAAAAATGTTATCTATACATGTTGCACTAGATTGAGAAATACGCGTTGGCTCTATAAATAAATTAAAAAGACCATATGATTTAAACAATGATCTAAATTTAATATTGATGGAGGAGGCTTCTAGGAGATTGATATTAAAGTCTCCACATATTACAACAGATTTATTCTGTTTATTAAGCTAAGCAAAAACTTCCTCCATGATGTTTTCAAAAATATTATATGTACAACATGGGGGTCTATAGACGCTCACAACAATGAGGTGCTCAAACTCAACACATGCCATTTCTACAGTTCGCTCAACAGAGAGGCTCACAATATCTTTACGTTCTTTACATGATAATAATTTACTAGCTAATATTAAGGAGCCACCTCTTAAAACCGTATTTCTATTGAAAGAACTGACCATAAGAAAACAAACAGGAGATGGGCAGCATCATCTTCCTTACAAACAGATCAAAATAATATTGTGATCTGTTGTAACTCAAATGAGCTATGAAATCAGGACTGTCACAAATATCTTAATATCTCTGAAAATATCAAATCTAAAAAAATAACGAATAATTAAAATTAATAGTGGAAGCCGATCTTTATCATGCAATCAAGGAATTAGCGTCATAATTTGACGTTACCTTACCCACAATGTTGACTAATTTGCACTAAATTGGTAAAATAGAAAAAAAGTCGAGAAATAAATGCCTATGTGCACTAATTGTGCATAGAGGAGTACACGTTGAAGCTTTTTTTATAGAATAAAGGTGATAAAGGAGTACACAGTACCACTGCAGATGCATTGCCACTCTTGAGGACTATAATGGAATGCCTCGTTTCCAGTAAAAAATGGTTTTCGGTTCTCTACACCCACTACACGATACACATCAGCATTGAGCTGCTATTTTACGCTGGTATTCTGTGAGAACGCCGAGCCGACC